CTGCTGAATTCTCCAGCATTATTTATAGCCACCATTAATCAATGGTCTATCTCTTTCATATAAGGCTTGGAAGTCCAGCTGGGTTGCAGCCAAATTTTTTTCAATATTTCTGCATAGATCACAGGAAAAATATTGTTCGAGATATATATTATTTATTTCTGCTTCTACCGATGGGATCATACCAGTGTGTAATTTTGCTCTGTATATTTTCGCTGTCTTTGACACCATGATTATGTGCAGAAATTGAAGCATGTCAATGTTAAAAGAAGGGGTAGTTAAAGATTACAAAGGACTAGAATTTCATATCAGTCTGATTTGGCACCAACACATTAATGTGTTCCAGTACTACTTCTATACAAACAGGTTGTGCTTCAGGTAATCAAGAACCAAGTGTGACAGGAAATCCTGGTACTGCGAGCATGGCTGCACAATGAAAAACTGATTTTTACATGTATTTGACAGTCATATCTAGTAGTTTACAATTAAAATATTCCTACTAATAACTCACTCCTATATGTTAGTGCCAGATTGCTCCCTTGAACACTAATTTCAACAATAATTTCATCACATTCAGTAAAAAAAAAGACCCATGTTTTGTCCAAATCCTTAAATCGAACCCAAAAGTTTAAACAGAACAGACGGTTCATACATGCATTAAGAATACATTTGTTGTTCCTCTCAACTGAAGATACGTGGATCTGATGGATGGACTGTTAGATCGATAAGGAATTGGCTGGATGTCTGCATCCAAAGAGTGATAGCCAACAACTCAATGTCCAAATGAAAACCAGTAACAAGTGGTGTCCCTCTAGAGTCTGTATTGGGACCAATAGTATTAAATATCTTCATCAGTGACACAGACATAGGATTGAGTGCACCCTCAGCAAAGATGCGGGTGGCAACAAACTGAGGGGTGCAGCTGATTCATCTGAGGGCAGGGACAGCATACAGAGGGTCTTTGACAGGCTTAATGAGTGGGCCCATGTAAAGCTCATGAGGTTCAACAAGGCCAAGTGCAGGGTCCTGTACCTGGGTTGAGGAAATCCCAAGTGTCAATACATGCTCAGGGATGAAGGAATTGGGACCAGCCTTGTGGAGAAGGATTTGTGGATACTGATGGATAAAAAAAAAATTACCTGAGCCAGCAATGTGCGGTCACAGCCCAGAAGGCAAACTATAACTTGGGCTGCATCAAAAGAGGGATGGCAGCAGGTCAAGGGAGCTGATTCTGCTCCTCTACTCTGCGCTGGTGAGTACTCAACCTGGAGTACTCTGTCAAATTCTCAGGTCCCAAGTACAAGAAAGACACAAATCTGTTAGAATGCATCCAGAAGAGGGAACAAAAATTCATCAGAGGGCTGGAACATTGTGCATCTCCATCAGTAGAGGTGTTCAAGGTCAGATTAGATGGGACTTTGAGCGGTCTCATCTAATGCAAGATGTCTCTGTCCATGACAGGGAGAGCAGACTACATAATCTTTAAATGTCCCTTCCAACCCAAACCATCCTCTAATTCCACAATTCCATGAACTTACATAGTACAACGTATAGTTTATGGCATAGAATATTTAACCTTCCAACTGATTTAATATATTCAAAATATTTTCTAATCAATTTAACAGATTAATTAGTGACTATTTCATATGTGTACACAGGCTAAGAATGTAATAAAAAGGACAGCATCTCATTGTAGGTTGTTCAAGTACAAATTCAGAAGAGAATTTTCTTAGAGGAGAAGTTTGGAAGTTACTTCAAAAAACCTTGAAGGAGACTGAAAATAAAACAAGTTACTCTTGAGTCCTTTTGTTTATTAGTTCTTTTTCTTTTTTTTTTGTATTTTAGTGCATAAAGAGGATATAACAGCTTTAATGACGTAAGCCAAAAATACTGACTAGTACACACAAGAAGCAGAATACAGAAAGGATGTGATCTTGGTATCTGCATCTTTGCAACCTTTTGGTTTTGTAAGCATTTTACAAACTATTTTGCATCTTCCTGTATTCCAACACTCATTCTTTATTGCTTGCATTATTTAATTGCTGTAAATTTTTTTTTGTTATTGTAAGTCTTTGGCAATATTTAGTCAGGATAAAATAATCATTACCTTTCTGATTTTTCCAGATGATTCATTCAAGTTAACAATCCACTAATTACCAGAATTTAACAAATATCAATTTTCAAGATGGAATATACTATAGAAGTGTCACTGTTGTAATAATGTCCTTTTTTAAAAAAAAATGATATTAACCTACCTGCCAGGTATGTTTGTTCATGCAACTCCGTGATGCTTAATAACTCTGCCTTCTGTTGCTGACAGCTTTTTCTTGCCTGGTGCCATTTCAGAGCTGCCTCAGAGTTTATCTGGTATTGGACATTTGTTAAAGGATCTGTATTCCACAACAAATCAATACCGTTAACTGTAGGGAGAAAGACAAATGCTGTAACTGATCATGAAATGGAGCCAGATAAAATACAGAATATACTGCATAGCAAAAATAAACAAACCCTAAACACTGCTATAAACATCTGGTTTGAAAAGAGTCCTGAGGCTCTCTAATGTCTCAGTTAAGCCATGACAGCTGTGTTGGACAGGTACAGGTAATGAAACCAGGTCACCATTTGCTCTAGTATAACAAAGCTCTTGCTTAAGGTAGAAGATGAGTGGCTCAAGTCACGTTAAAAGAGTTGATTTGTCATTGTGGAGAAAAAGACTAAAAACTACCAGACTCATGCGAGCTACAGTGTATATCCATTTGACCTCTTTTCTGAGATAAAAACAAAAATGTTTTTTACTAATTTTTGAGTACTATGTAAAGTGACTGTGGATTTTCTTATTGTGGTAGAGGTAATCAGAACCAAGCACTGAATGCAAAATTCCGTTATCAGCATCCATCTCGCACTTCTCTGCAATACTTGATTTGTCTTATTCATGTATCAGACATGCCATCATGTTTTCTTCTCTGCCGCGTGATCTGACTGTGATCTCCTTAAATACCTGAATTTCGCACATTTAGGCAATGCCAAACCAATGAAAAGATTATCCAGCAGGGCCCAGTGTTAGAAGTGGCCCCAGAAGGTACCACATGCCTTACAGTGCCGCAGTCTCTCCTAGCACAGCTCAGTTGAATCCCCAACAGTAAGAAACAGAAAACAGCATGATCTTGCTCTGCCAAAAGCGGAACCTACAGGAGGCCCCATCACTGAGCTAAATATCACATAGAGATTAAAATTGTATAGCAAAAGCAGAATATAGCAAAGGTCACTGTGTGTCTGCTAACAACAGGAAAATGACTGAAATTCCTGTAGTCTGTATCAGAGTTTCTCAAGTTGCAAGCTGTGAAAAATTTGAAGAAAGAGGTCTTTTCCTTTTCCGAATTCAGAGAGTTCAGAAAACTTAAGTGTGCAAATAAGACGAAAACAGTACAATAAACAAAACTCAAGACAAAGGATGATACATGTTAAACGTCAGCAGGTCAGTAATCAGTTACACTTTTTCCTGTATTAAATCTGATAGTCTATGTATAATACAAAGTGTTTCTTTTCAAATCATCCTTAAAAAAAAAAAACAAACAAACACTTCTGTAATAATGATATTTGACTAAATATGAAAGCTTTCATCCTATTAGCATTATCCACAAACTGACTTATGTCCAAAATATTTTATGACTATCAGAGGACAAAATTTCTTGGGTTTTTTGTTCTACAATACCATAAATGCATGTGCACAAGCAATAAAGTGAAGACTGAAAAAAATGGTAAAGTCTATAATACAATAAAAAAAGCTGGATCTGACTCAATGGAGAGGGTTTCATAAATCTTGTACAAGTATTACAGAAGAAGAGATAAACAAGTGTCAGGCGTTCATCCGACGTCCACCTCACTCCTCCAGTCTCATCACTTCTAGCTGACTTGCATATGGTGCTCTGCTGTAGAACTTTGGTCTTTTATAAAAATAAAGTTCATTTCTGAACCTTGAAAAATTTATTTCTAAGGTATTTGAGTTCTGTGAGGTCAAGTGCCTTCACAGAGCAGAATTTAGGAAAATCTAAATGCTATTGTTTGACACTTAGTAACCCCAGAGAAACCAGAAGATTAACCACTTTTCTTGAATGATGTATTTTACCATCTGAACTAAAGTAACATTAAACCAGACTTGTTCTTGGTACATAACTAGAAAAAGAATAAAAAAGCTGGACTGTATCCCTACACAGATTAATTCAGCTTCTATTTTTTTTTGTATACAACAAAATTAGTGAGAAAAAGAGTATTTCCACTACGATTAACTCAATCAAAATCCCATAAGTATAATATTAGTAAGTGGAAGACTTCACTCATGTCTTTGAAAGTTCTCAGTCTTCAAAGCAAAGCAGACAAAAAACTCATTGAATTTCAGGTATGGCTCTCGACAGACAAGTTCAAACTTACAGGAAAGGCATAAAGTCCTGATCACTGCAGTCATTTATGATATTTTTAATTTTAAAAAATGACAACATGATTATTGTATCATAAATACAGTATTTCTCCTGATTATGAAATGGAAGAATTTTGAGATATTTTAGTTTCAAAATTGTCAGCTGAAATCTGGCTTTTTACTAGCAGTAACAATAAAGTATTCTTGTTTGTTTAGTTTTCCATTCAAATCAAGTTGCTGCCTCATTCCAGTATCTTTGGAAACGGCATGAACAGACTCAAATCATGGCAAACAAAAACTGACCATAAATCTTGTTAGACAGTCTATAAAATAACTCCTATTGCTTTCTCTCTGAGCATATAGTATTGAAGGAATGTCATAATAAAGACATTACAGTTTATGTGAATCTATAATATGTTATATAAAGACACAATATTGTCAATAGTAAAAAAGTCTAAATTATACTAGAATTCCTTCACATGTTTATCTTGACTTAGATATCTTTTCCTAAGTGCTCCTCTCTTTCTTTTCCCTAGATTAATTTGTGAGCTCCAAAGTCAAGAGTTCCAGATAAATCAGAAGAAATAACACAATTACCCCCATATAACTTAAATGACCAGTTCACCAGGCATTTTGAAGCAGACATAAAATCAGAAAAAAAAAAAAAAAAACAAACCACAGCTTCAAAACATCTTGAAACATCAGGATGGGGAAAAAGCCTGTCATAAAAAAAAAATTCTGTAGCTGTAAATGAATACAAGGATATAGGTTTGCCTAATAACATACTAGGCTAAGACTATTTAAATATTTCCTCATTTTCTGCACTTTTTTTTTTGCTTCCTAGTCCGCTACAATTTCTGTGCATCACATAAAAGGCTTTCTAAATTCTCCACAGAAATTGTAGCTCTTTCTTCTGAACTTCAATGGTTTGTGCCCATTTGATGACTGCTATAGGCACACCTCATGACTCACTCTCTTGACAGTCCTACACTGTGCAACCTGTTTTCTTCCCAAACACCTAATTTTATATTGCAGGTCAACAGACGGCTCAAAAAGACATAACGTAACCAGTATTTCCTAGGCTACTAAAAATTATCTGGTGGGGCAACACTTCTCAGTTTCTTCCTGTGGGATGTAAGTTAAGTTTCTACTGTCACTGTATGAGCATCTCTTTTTTAAGCACCAAAGGAAGGTTCATAGTCACAATTACTTTACTTGCACAGGTCAAATTTCTACAGCCCTACTGAATATAATAACTGCTAAAAGAATAGTCTCATGACCTCTTCGTTTTGGAGAACATTCAAGCCAACTTTGCTCCAAATGAAAAAAAAAAACAAACAACAAAACAACAGCAACAAAAAAAACCCTTCTGCTACCACAGCCCATCTCTCATTAAAATATATAACCCAAACCTGAATATTTTATAGCCAGTACTGAAGAATCAGGAAGGAAACATGCAGGCAATCAGTGTAAAGCAGCTTTTTCCAAGAACAATCATGGCCATCTGAATGGATTTCCTTGAATTATGCCAAATAATTAAACAACATCTTAATGATGCCTCCTATTTGCTGTACTGAAAGAATGCCAGACAGGTAGCACTCTTAACCTGATCTTGCATGTGCTGTATTAACAGGATTTATATTTCCAACATATTTTTAATATCTTGAAAACAATACTCACCTAGAAAAAAAATGCAATTTTTATTGGTCTGAATTAATGATTGCAACATTCATGGAAATTAGGCAAGGATACTAATCCTTCATCACCAAACCATTTAAAATCAACCCAAACTGTTTTATTCTCTTCACATCAGAGGAAGGATCTATTTTTCTCCTTAGCTCTGACTGCAGTCAGCTGGAGCTTTACAACAAAACACAATAAAAGAGAAGGGAGGGACAAGAACTACGTCTCTCAGCATGGCAGGAGCAGCAGCTGCTTGCAGACAAAATGTATTTTACAGAAGTTCAGAGAAAATTTATTCAACTTCAAAAGAATTTAATTACATATAAACACGTTCCTCAAATTTACTTAAAGTGATACCAATAATTCTACATAAAGTTCTGTATATTCATAATACTACAGTTGAAACTAACTATACTCAGACCATGGAAATTAGAATATAAATACTTCACATTGATTTTAAATACAGAGCTCTAACACAGCACAGACATTTGGAAAATATTTGAATTTAGTAAAAAGTTCATGTAAGCTCCTTTAAAAGGTAACTCATTCCACAAAGTAGTCTTAATTTTCAGTTAAGCTCTATTCTGCCTTCCAATTCTGTGGCATGAATTCATACACAGCCTTTTGCATATACTAATATAACGTCTTTACACCTAATTAACTTCAAATTTAAGTAAATGGTGTAACTACAGATTCCAGCCTATGACTAACACACTTTCACCTGGATGTAGTTGGTAATTTTTTTTTACACTGAGACCTGTATTTCCATATTTAACTAGTTCCTAAAAGGATAGTAGGCTGAATGAAGACAGAAAAATGCATTTCAAACTGTATTTTATCGAGTAAAGCACATGATAAGGGCATGAATATTTCCAAGCAGCTGAATAACAGCACAAAAGAATCACGAGCACAAAAAACTTACATTTCAATGGACAAAATCCATATATCTTGTCAACATCAAAGTCTGAAGTGGTTCCACACCAGAACCACCCATCCGATCTGCCAGCATCTGTGCATTCAGCATACCATTTACCACCAAACTTAAAAGGGAATACACAAGGTGCTCCATTGGCATTTCCTTTCACAGTGTAGATATCTAAAGAGACACACCATTTAAAAAAAAAAAAAAAAAAAAAAAAAAGTATAAGCAATAATAAGCATGCGATATATATCACTTCAGCTTTATGATCATATTATGGCATATTACAGCAAGCAGAGCTTGCTAGCTTAGTGTATAATCTATACTAGAAAAGGGACATTGAATTTTCCTCTCTAGGTCTAAGCTGATAATCATGTCCACAACTATACAAAGTTTTATTGCTTAAAGAGACCACTGACCAGAACTGATAGAGCCAAGGCAAGTACATTCCTCTGCTAAATTTTACATGCACAACAGTCAAAAGCATAAAATCCACAGCTAAGAAATTTTCTTTTTAAGCACAAAAAACTACTGATCCTTCTGTCAATAACTCACTGGACTGCTAACCATTTTAGACAGGGAAGAACATGTATGGATAACCTTGAAAGTTATATATCACAGAGTGACTCCAATATACAATGCCCAAATAAAATTCCTACTGGTGTCTAAAGGTAATTTTCATTTCATCAGAAACCTGATTTGATGAAATTTGTCAAAGCAGTTTTCTGTGTGTGCACATCCAGAGGAACACTGCTTGACAGGGACTGCTGGAGAAGTGACATACCCAGGTCGCTGTCTCAAAGAGCTGCTAGAAAACAAATGAGGAAGGAATGGCAGGCCATCACTCCATCTCCCCCTGCCTCCTTTCATAAAATTTGTTTTACCAGGGTTCTTTTATTCTGACTTTAGACCAAGGACCAGTACTGTAACCAGTCACTGCATAAACTGTAGAAAATGCATTCATACCTGTCTCTGTGACCACTCCTTTTTATCAAAAAATACTAAACGGGAAGCCAAACGTATTCACAGACACTTATCATAAATATATATATCTATTCTACACAATATTTTCAAATGTAACTATTTAAAATATCTTGTTTCTTTGTCTAACACTTCAGCACCAGCTCTGAGACTCACTTCAAACACCTACGGAGGTATCTTCAGTATACTGGAGCTGAAGATATCAAGGTTTAACTAAATCCTTTACGGCATAATTAATATTTCCTCCCAAAGGGGGAAAAAAAAAAAAGAAAAAACAATAGTCAGCAGACTATACTATATCTTTCTGTACACATTTAAATAGTAAAAGCTATCATTAACAGTTAGATAGCAGTAATACACATGTTCTGAATAACCAAAGACTTTTTCCCCCTCTCCAAATGAATTGCTACCATGCATGGTTGATTATCTATCAAAACTTGGACAAAAAAGCAAATTGAAGCCCTCAAAAAACATAAAACACACACTCAAGTATCACTAATTTCAACAGAAGTCACACCTGCCATCAACAAGATGAAGGAAATTCTCCTATATTTCTAAACATTTTAATTAGATATACATAGAAATAAGTTTGAAATACAGAAATTAATTTACAGAACTTTACCTTCATAGCCTCGAGAGCACAGATCGTCTGTTGTTCCATAGACTTTCCACCTACTCCATAAACCAGATCCCTTGTACAGCATAATATTCCTTTCCTGTCTGTTTCCATAGTTGAAAAACAGATCTTCCCCTTGGATTGCAAAGAGAGTCTCGTTTCTGCATTCCCACCGCTGAAGTTCGCTAGCTTTGTCACAAGGATACAGAGTGATGGGAACCCAGTCTTTCTTCGAAGGCACTCCCAAGCACAATTTGAACGCTATGCTCATAAGCTGGTGATCTGAGACCCACCTGAATTTTTGTGACTCATTTTCTTGAACACACGGAGCAGTGGTCACTGAATTAGAACTTTGAGCCAGTACACAGCGCTTGTGATCTTCATTATATATTAAGAAGATACTAGTATCTGTAAGATAAAAACCACTGAAATCATTTGGCTTGAAGTAATCTCTACCTGCCATCTAAATGAAATATGAACTATGAATCCGGACACCACTCTTGGGGTTAAAATCTCATCATCTGCCCAGCAAAAAAAGGTGTGGTACTCCTGTGGCAAACACCTGTCAAAGTGGCTGTAGAATTCAACTGGTTCAGGTGTGAGGACATTTCAACTATCTTGTGCCAGTGAAAGTATCCACACTCAAAAGCGCAAGGCAGCAGAGATGAAGATCTAGTGTCTCCTGTAGTTTTAAAGCATAGGTTAAACTGAAGAGAAACAAATTCACTCATGGGACTATTCCAAGCTGCACCCATGGGAGTTGCTGACACAAGGGAGCACACACACCATGAGGTGTGTGTGCAGATGAGGACGCTGAGCGCTCCAGCAGCACTGGCTTCTTGATCCTGGCTGCCAGGTGTGAGGAGATGACAACAGCCATTAAGTTCTTCAGGCTCCTTTTCCCCACAGTGGGGAGTTCTGTTTATGTAAGCTCTGCTAAAACCCTTCAAGTCTTAACAGACGGGAAGGGTAATTTTTGAGCTTTCTACGCAAGCTACTTGTAGGGCTAGGACAGCATATTAATTTTTCACTCAACTGCGATCATCAGCAACCTCTTTCTCCTTTCTTACATTTCTCCATTATGAATGAAATACTGACAACAGTGCCATTTGCCACCATCAGCTATGCCTCTTGTTGACTTACGAAAATCTATGAGGCTCTTCATAGTTCCCAAAGTCATTTCTGTCTCCTAGTAAATCGTGCTTCACAGCATGCATTTGCATGTATTCCAGGTTTATTGCAAAATTGTAACCACTAGAAAAGTGTTCAGCACCTCTTACACTTGGATGTTCCACAGAGTGCAACATTTCTGACCTTATCTTGCCCAAAAACTGAGAATTTCTCCTCTCCCATCCCTTTGAGATAGATTTTAACACAGTTACTTAATAGTTCTCCCTGATGTTAGATATAACAGGATGCACAAGATCCTGAAGCTATATTTTAACTGAGCTATAAGCTAGGAAAGAGAAATACTAATTTATGTTACTCTGGGGATCGAAGCTGATTAAAACATTATTTATTGTAGGGTATGGTTACCAAATTAAACACATTTGATAATGAAGAAATATTTAAGGTTAACCACAGAAAATCTTCCCTTCCCTACTGAAGCTTCAATGTGGAAATGATGACACTTTTATGCAGAAGAACAAGCTGGGAACAAATGACTTCTATCTCAGAGAAAGAGCTGACCTAGACTTATCTCATCTATGGTTCAGTTTCCTTCTCCTGTTCTTTGGCTTCCAACTCACTGGGAAGTAGCGTAAAACTGATGAGCACTGGATACAGCAACTGTTGCCTTTTGCCAATCTGTTTTACTCACAGACAATACAAGGAAACATATAATTATCACTGCTGGTGATAACTTTTTTTATTCTGCTTTTCTACCAGCATTTGGCTCTACGTTATTGTAAACTGATACATGCAATGTTTGCAACTCTCTGTTTACTGAAATTCAGACTTTCCGGGTAAAAGAAGTCAGACTTTTTCACATGTGTGGGAAACACTGTCTGATCTTTCAAGCTGCTAAAACTGTATTTGTGGCCTAAAATAACAGTCCTTGCTTTATGCAGCTTATGGTGTTAAAGACAGGATGCTATGCACACAAGGCACCCCAAAGTCAAAAGCCTGGATTGCTGCAACCAAGCCTGAAAAGTCTTGGAGTTTTTGCTCTAGAAACAAGGTTAGAATGCTGAACAAAAACGTCTGACCAGTGTGGAAAAAAAGAGAAAAAAAAAAAAAAAAACAAAAAAAACAAAACCAAACAACACTTTGGCCCTCTGCTATTCTGACTACACATTTACAAAGCATTAGCAGTGTGTAAATGCATTGTGCAAGAGCCCTAGTGCACATGGGGCCTTGGCAGTGAATAACACATGGGTAAGCAGCTAAAGGGCGAACATAGTCTTGCAGTCATGAAAAATAAGTTGGCACCAAAACAGGAGGTAGCAGGATGCAGAAGCAACTGTGGCTGAGACTGTAGTTGCAGGATTTCCCTCCCCTCAGTTGCTCCTGTCTCATCCAGGACCATACAGCAGACTTGTAGCACGGTCCTGTATTGCTCAAGTTTGCAGCTTTATTTCTGCGTTTGTTCTGTCTGCTTGGATGCCAAAGGGGATTCCCACACAACACTTTACATGTGAGTTATTAGATATTGTAGAAGAATATGAAACAAGACAGGTATTTGTGCAACGCTTTCTATGTCCTGCCAGCTCTTCTGTATAAACGATTGATACCACTCCTGGCAACATGGTGAGTTGTATCTGTGAAATGGGCTTTATTACTCACATACCCATTAACTGTTTCACTGTCCTGTAACAACGTGTTACAGAGCTCCCACAATAAGGTACCACTCTTCACTATAGATGAGCTGTAGGTGATACGCTTACCACCACAGCATGATCATGAGTATCACAGTCTTAGTACTTTGAATTTCTAACTCATATTTTGAATATTACTTCCGGAAGGAGGTTCTTTAAAATGCATAGGAATGTACCAGTGTCAGATGCAGGAAACACAAAACTAGCACAAATCACAAAGCTTGACATTGCCAGCTGGTACCAGGGCTTATATGGGGGCTGAGTGAAGACTCAGTAGTCTGTGTCCTTGAGGCCCTGACAAAGGATGTGGAATGCAGTGGAGGCTGCTTACCCCATTCTCCCACCTAGCTCATGGCAGTTTACTCCCTGCAAGTGCAGATAAGGAAGTTTTGTGTTAATTACAATGAATAATTTTTTGTCCACAGCCCCATCCTCACACTTTGAACATCAGTAACAAAAAAAAAGGTATAATTCCTTTTTGGACCCAGTTTGTGAGACAAGAATTCAGCACCAAGTCATAGGGACAGACCAACAGGTCTGTTCTCCTCACCCTCCCCAGCAGGGACATCTTTTGGTAAGACCTGAGGCTTTGGCTCCACCGAGTGATTTTCCCCACGAGATTATTATTATTGTAATTGCAATTGCTTTGTAGAGCTGTATAGCCAGTCTTCAGCTTAGTGTATTTATCACTGGCAATGATAAAGACTCTGTATGTTGGGTGCCACTAACCCGTGCTGCTCGGGCACCCAACGGCTGCTGCTGAATGCAGCCAGACCTACAGCACCAGGCTGCTCCTGCATCTGAGGTCAGACCTACAGTCACAGCTCTCATTGGAACCTGTGAAGACACAAGTTCAGCCACCCCTAGGCCCTCTAATATCTGAGGACCAGCTAGAAAGCAAGGGGTTTCGTCTCAGCAAATTTGTCTCTCCCTTACGCACACCTACCCCTTTCCCTTCACGCAACAACCAGCCATTGAAACAAACTTACCTCATTGTTAGAACACATCCAGGCAGAACTAACAGCTTTTCCCTCAGCTGTTCTACATAGATCATAACACAATTTTTCTCACAGGCTTTTTCATCACTCACCACACTATGACTATTTGCCTATCTGTGACCCTAGCTTATATCCAAAGAATTGTGCCATGTGCTGTAAAATCTCTCCAGCCAAGTATCTTTTGCACAACAGAGATTTCCAGTATGCCGAGGCAGCTTCACACTGCAGCATTTGCAAACCTCACAGATTATGCGCACATAAATCAAGAAGTAGCTCATGAAGCCAGTGAAGTGCAATCAGGGATAAACCCTAATGGAGTGCACTAGAAGAGTACACATAAGCCAGAAGCGAGAGAGGGAGAAGCAATGGGGCAGCAAGCAGGTGGGATAATTATCTTCACGCAGCCTCTCACTTACCAGATAGCCTACAGTGAATGCTGCTATTTACACGAAGCAAGAAAAGTTACAAGGCAGTGTTATGAAGCTGTGCTTCAGCAGATATTAAACTGAGATGATTGAGGTGCTGAAAGGCTTTCAGGAGGGGCAAATAAAAAACTTTCACAGAAAAACAGTGTGCTGGAAATCATGGTAATTCTCAGAGTGAGTAGATGCAAGCTCCGGGTTTCATCAAGATGCTCTGTTTTCACCTGTCTTCACACATCTAATCCATGCCAATAGCTCAGCTACCTTCACATCACCCCACAAAAGCCATCAGCCAAACACGAGTCCCCAAGTCCACTGGAGACCAGAGGACTGGAGGGAAGGCAGAGCCCCAGTGCCAGGCCCTTCTGCAAACCTCAGCAGTGAGGAGGTATCAGAGGGCAAGGTGGATGACAGGGTGATGGTGTTATATCGATCAGGCACCAAGTCTCCAGAGCGGTGGGCAAAAGTGAGGCACCACCGATGACAGCCTTATTGGGCACCCACAACACCATGAGCACCCAAAAGGCCGCCTCGCCGGCAGCTTCGCTCTCCCGACGCTTCAGGGTGGGGGCAAGTCCTCGCTGCCGCCGCCGGGAGGCTCCCCTCGGGCAGCACGGAGCGGGTTGGAGCGGCTGGAGCGGCTGCGGCTCCGCC